AAGTCGATGAACAAACGGACTGGGTAAGTCAGGTTGTGGTGGTGATGAAAAAGTCTGGGGAATTGAGAATATGTATCGACCCGAAACCATTAAACAAGACGTTAGGACGGGAGCACTTTACGCTGCCCATTTTTGACGACATACTACCGGAATTAGCTAATGCAAGATACTTTACGAAGGTGGATTTAGCCTCTGCGTTTTGGCATTTAGAGCTGGAAGATATATCGAACTACTTGACCACTTTTGGTACACCACTCGGGCGATATCGTTGGAAAAGACTGCCATTCGGTTTGATAGTGTCAAGTGAAATTTTTCAGAAACGAATCCTCCAAGCGGTAGATGATCTACCCGGTGTATTGTGCGTGGCGGACGACATTCTAATTTTTGGTAAAAATGTAGATGAACACAATGGATGGTTTGAAGGCTTTTTACGTTGTATACGAGACGGAATCAAGCTGAAACAGGACAAGCTAATCTTTTGTTAATCGGAAGTCAGCTTTCACGGTCACGTACTTACAAGCGAAGGGATCAAACCGGACCCGGAAAAGGTAAAAGCGATTGTAGAAATGCCTTCCCCAACTGGTGCAAAAGGCGTATCACGATTCAATGGAATGATAAACTATCTCAGTAGATTTCTTCCAGAACTAGCGGAATTGATGCGACTGATTCGACGTTTGACGCATAAAGGAGAACCGTGGCTTTGGACACTAGAACAACAGGCGGCTTTTGATCGCGTCAAGCAACTTATTGTGAAAGCCCCAGTGCTGGCGTATTTCGATCCCAAAGCATCCCTGTGTATACAATGTGGTAGCAGTCAATTTGGATTAGGTGCTGTGCTCCTCCAAAATGGGAGTCCATTAGATTATCGGAGTAAGACACTAACGGACTGTGAACAAAGGTACGTCCAGATTGATAAAGAAATGCTAGCAATTGTGTATGCGCTGGAGAAGTTCAATGATTACACTTTCGGTCGGCTCACGCATGTATACTCGGATCACAAACCACTGATCATGATTATGGATAAACCCCTCCATAGAGCACCAAGGAGATTACAATACATGTTAATACGTCTACAGAAATACAATTATGAGCTGCATTAAGAACAAGGTAAACGCATATTTGTGGCGGACACGTTGTCACGAGCCACTTTGCCAGATACAGGACAGGAACAAAAGCTGGAATCCGTGAACGTTGCATTGGCGGTGACGCAGCTCGAGATGTGCCACTTACGAACTGCAACTATTGACGATCCGAGTATGCAAGAACTTAAAGGAGTTATTACACGTGGTTGGCCAGAGAAGAAAAAGCCCTTCCGATGGACGTATTACCTTACTTTAAATTCCGAGATGAATTAACTGTTCACGATGAACTGATTTTTCGTGGTGAAAGGTTGGTCGTACCAAAAGTGATTCAACAAAACGTAATGTGTTTGATATATTGCTCTCACGCCGGCACAAACGGATGCCTCAGTCGCGCCAGGGAGACATATTATTGGCTGGGTATGTCGGGACAGATAAAACAAGTGATTGCTAAATGTGAAATTTGCAGGAAGTTTGATCAGCGACAAACGAAGGAACCGATGAATA